AAAAGTCGCAGATTCCAGATGTGGAGGATCATGTACCTTCCCTGTTGGACCTTCTGCTGCTGCTCTCACCCGGACGGATATTAGATTTCCGTCGACGCCCCCTTAGGCTCCTCGGACCATTGTCTTGTCCGGAGTGTGGCGCCACTCACAGTTGCATTCTGCAGGCTGCCGCTATGTTTGGCACTATAGGTCGGCCGATTGGGATAAGATGCGGTCTTTTTTTGCATCCTACCCTTGGGGGTGGGTTTGCTTATCACCGGATGATCCCAACGTTGTTGCGGGTTCTGTCACTGATGTGGTACTTCAAGGTATGAAAGTTTTTATTCCTTCCTCCGTGCCGCTCATCGGAGGAGGCAAATCTCAGTCATGGTTTGGTCCTCCAGTAAAATAGCATCATGCTATAAGCAGGAGTGCTACCAAGCCTGGGCTGACCCATCAACGTCCCGGGATGTAAACACCAGCGCTCTAAAAAAGAAGTATAATTCCGCCTCCAGGTCCTTAAAAAAAGTCAATGCCAAGGCAAAGTCAGAGCACATACGCAGAATTGGCAAGAAACTAGTTCGCCTTCCATGCATTCTGCATGGGTTCCAGAAGTCTCTTGTCTCTGGTCTCTTGCCAAGGCTGTCCAGGGAAATTTCTGTCAGCCATCTCTTACATCTCTACACAGAGAGGACGACTCACTGGCCCACACTGCAAAGGAGAAAGCCCATCTGCTAGGCTCTTTCCTTGCGTCCAACTCGACTTTTGATGACGGAGGGAGTACGTCACCGACCATTCCGCAGTGTGAGTGCTCCATGCCTGAGGTGCGATTTACACTGCGCTCAGTTCGCAAAGCACTCCTCTACCTGGACATCCACAAGTCGAGTGGGCCTGACGGAATCTCCACATTTGTGTTGAGGACGTGTGCTCTAGAGTTGGCACCGGTTTTAACGCGTCTTTTTCGGTACTCCTACTTCCTAGGCGTAGTCCCAAAATCATGGAAGACGGCTTTCGTCTACCCGAACCCTAAAAAAGGCGACTGCTCAGACCCGTCCAACTACAGGCCTATCGCCACCACCTCCTTGTTCTCCAAAACAATGGAGTCCGTCGTAAACTGCCAGCTCATGAGTTACCTTGAGGATCATCAGCTGATTAGTGATCGCCAATACGGTTTTCGTCGTGGTCGATCAGCTGGTGATCTTCTGGTTTACCTAACTCATAGATGGGCCTTTGATCGGGTTTGGCACAAAACACTTCTTTCGAAGCTCCCTTCCTATGGGCTTCCCGAGAAATTGTGCAGTTGGATTACCAGCTTTCTTGCAGATCGGAATATCAAGGTTGTTGTAGACGGTGCAAGCTCCGATTACAAGCCTATTGATGCTGATGTTTCACAAGGCTGCGTGCTATCGCCAACGCTGTTTCTTCTGCATATCAATGATATGTTGCAAACCCGTAACATTCATTGCTATGCAGATGACAGCATTGGTGATGCTCTGTACACCGGCCGTGACAATATTTCTCGGGAAACCATCTCTGAGTACCGGGATAAACTTGTGTCTGAAGTTGAGTCTTTGCTGAACAAAGTCTCGGATTGGGGGCGACTAAATTTAGTCCAGTTTGTCGTATCTCCTCAGTTTTAAGGCACTGCCCTTGTTGCCTCAGCCAGTATCGGAATCCTCGGCGTCGACATATCGAGTGACGTGCAGTTTCGTGGTCACTTGGAAGAGAAGGCCAAATTGGCCTCTAAAAGCTTGGCGTGCTCAACAGATCGGGACAGTATTACATGCCGGCACACCGCCTGCAACTTTATAAGGCGCAAGTTCGGCCGCACATGGAGTACTGTCCCCATCTCTGGGCTGGGGCTCCCCAGTGCCAGCTCCTTCCACTTGGCCGCATCCAGCGCAGAGCAGCTCGAATCGTCGACGACCGAGTGCTTTCCGATCGGCTTGAATCACTGGCGCTGCGAAGAGATGTTGCATCTCTTTGCATTTTCTTTCGCATATACCACGGGGAGTGCTCTGAGGAATTGTTCGGATTAATTCCAGCCGCCAAACTTCGTGAACGCACTACGCGGCAAACGTCCCGATACCATCCACACCATCTAGATGCTTGGCGGCCCACCACTGTACGTATCACAAGGAGTTTTCTTCCGCCTACAACCTCTTTGTGGAACGGTTTACCACTGGTGATTTTTTCGGACCGATACGACCTTGGGACCTTCAAGAAAAGAGCTTTCTCATTTCAAAAGGGCCGGCAACGCACCCTTCAATTCCCCTGGTGTTGCGGTTGATCATGGGCGGCGATAGTCACTTAACATCAGGTGAGCCGCATGCTCGTTTGCCCCATCTTGCATAGAAAAACAGTGAAACTGTGATGAGCTGCATACCCCCACAAATTAGTGAATATTTTGAGTTTTATTTATTTACTCTTTTAATTTTTATTTTTAATTTTATTTTAAGATACGTGTATTTCATCACTTGCCTGAGACCCTGTATGGTCAATGTGCAGAGGCTGTGGCAAAATAGTAGGAGTAATGGGTTCCTCGTTACAACCGAGTCACAGACCGTCTTGTCACAACTAGTTACTAAGCTGTCTTTTTAAATTTTAACATTGTATTCTTTGTGACAAATAAATACTTTATTTATTTATATTTAAAAATATACTACTTAAAATATTTTATATAATTACATAGGCTGCACTAAAAGTATCGGGAATGGTATTTTCCCGTTCCCGGAAAAAGTTCCCGTCATATTAAAATCTTTTTTAATTGAAAACTCCTTGGTTTTAAAAATCGAATACCATTTATTTATTTAAAAAAGATTCTCGGTCTTGTCACAAGGTCTTGTCAAACTTGTTTAATCGTTGAGAAAATGGAATTGACTCGAGAAAATTCAAGAGCAATGATTTATTATGACTTTCGAAGTGGTTTAACACAAAACAGTGTGTTGACCGATGATTTCTGCATTTGGTGATGAAGCCCCATCCAAAACCACAATTTATCGCTGGTTTGCTGAATTTCAAAGGGGACGTATCAAGTTCAGTGATGATCCCCGTCAAGGTCGTCCAAAAACTGTAGTCACCCAAGAAAACGTTAGCTGATTGAGGAAGATCGACATGTGACATACCGCGAAATTCAGGCAACTTTAGACATTGGCATGTGTCAAATACAAATAATCTTACATGAACAATTAGGTGTAAAAAAGTTGTTTTCCCGATGGATACCGCATTCGCTCTGTGAAGAGCAAAAAGCGGCTCGCGTTACTTGGTGCCTCAGAACTCTCGAAAGATTCCACGCAGGATCCTCAAATGCTGTATACAACATCGTATCAGGTGACGAATCCTGGATATATACGTACGAACCCGAAACAAAAAAACCAGTCACGAGATTGGGTGTTCGAAAATGAGTTAAAGCCAACAAAAATTGTTCGTTCACGGAGTGTTGCAAAAAAAATGGTGACCACGTTTGTCTCCAAAACCGGCCATGTTACGACTATTCCTCTTGAGGGACAAAGAACGGTTAATGCAGAATGGGATGCTACATTTTTTTTGCCACTGGTTGTTTCTGAACTCCGTAAAGAGAACTGCAACCGCCGCATCATTCTCCATCACGACAATGCGAGTTCTCAAACCGCACACAGAACAAAAGAGTTTTTAGAGCAAGAAAACATAGAATTATTAGACTATCCGCCATACAGCCCCGATGAGCTAAGCCCTAATGATTTCTATACTTTCCCTAAAATAAGGAATAAATTGCGTGGACAGAGATTTTCATCAACTGAAGAAGCTGCCTACGCGACGACGACGACGACGCCTACAAAACGGCCATTTTGGAGACCCCAACTTCCGAATGGAATGGTTGCTTCAATGATTGGAAATTTCGCGGAGAATACTTCCTTCCACTTCCACTTCCTTGATTCCCGAAATTTTCAGTGCCGCCGTATAGCGCGAGGCTGTTATTAAAGGCATATATATGTTACAGCCAAAGTAAAATATCCGGATATTATACATATTATCTAGCCATTATTTAGAATGTCTACTCAATTTAAATTGACACAGAATCAATCGCATTAACTAGCAATTTTATATAATCTCTTCGAAGACTTGGATAATGTAATAAAACAAGCATGTAGGTATATGTAAATATTATAAGCATCCTTAACTATATGTGTAGCAAATAGTAATATTTTAGTAATATTAAGAATAAAATAACATTGTCATAGATAACAATTCTACGTTAATTAACATTGATAAAAAATTATTTAACTTTAATTTATAAAGTAAATTTAAAGCTCACTAGCCATAAAACAAAATTAAAAAAAAAACACAGAGATCAATACAAGTATTTGGTACCACTCTTTAAAGACTAATTAATTATTATTTTTATTCTTACAAGTAAGGCTCTTGTGACATTTTGAGTTACACATGACTTTTTTTTTGTTGTTTGACTTTATACATTAACACCTGTTAGTAACGCATTCTCCAGTACAGTTGCAATGCAGAAATCCTTGGCCGTCAAGATGTGATTCTTTTTTGTACATTCTCTGATGGTAACTTCATGTTGGGGAACGATATCAACTGTAATAAACGTTTCTTTGTATACAGTGAACTGATTCCTTGCGTAAAGTTGATTTAGAATCCCATACTTAGTGTCTAACTTATACATTCCTTCTGTCTCCTGACAAATTATAACAGCCATAATATTTCTATCAACGGCTTTGGCGCGGTCTACATCAGAAATTTGTTACCACTACATTATCGCCTGTATTAGCAGCAGGATATTTTACCGAAGATAGAGCTAACATTTTGTCTGCTTGCTTTTTCAGAGATTGTCCAACTAATTTTCTGATGTTTCCTATATCTTGTTTCTTTTTATCAAGAGCAATTACTATTTTTTGGTCACTTTGCGTTATTTTTGACGGATCTGTAGTATTTCCTTGGTTTTCGGTCTCTTTATCAGATTTTCCTGTCAGGTTATTTGTAATTTCATTTTGCGAATCAGTGTTTAAAATTGTAGTATCGCTTTATATTTCTTCGTCTTCATTAATCACAGCGTCGGTAATATTGGGTTCGGTTTCCCTCTCCTCATTCAACCGGTTTTCGTCTTCATTCAGTATAGATTCTAGCTCTTCTTCTGTTGACAGTTCAACTAGCGCGTCTTTAGGAAGACTATTTAATCCGACTTTAGCTTTACAGCCAAACATTGCTTCGTAAGGGCTACGATTTATCTCTGCGTGATACGCTCTGTTCTTCATAAATTGAATAAAGCGTAATCCTTCAGACCATTTCGTCGTCTTGTTAGATTCCAGCCAAGCACAAATAATCTTCTCTATGTCTTGGTTAGCCTTTTCAACAGACCCTTGTGATTGAGAGTGTCGGGGTTTACCATGAACGATTTTTAATTCCGGCCACATCGCACAGACTTCTTTGACCACTTTGTTAGCAAATTCCCTAACATTATCGCTTTGCAAAATACTAGGCGCTCCGAATGTAGTAAAAATATCAAGTAAATGATACGCTACCTCTTCTGCTTGCTTGCTTTTTAAAGACCGCAGCTGCACGAATTTTGTTAGGTGATCTTGATACACCATGATGACTTTATGTGATTGCATGTCTATTAGATCAACTTGGCACCTTGAATTAAGCTCGTTGCTGATAATCGGTTTTACAAAATACACTGTGACGAGTTCAGCAGTTACATTTTTATATCTTAATTTTAACTCTTTCATCATTCTGACTCTACCACTGTGTCCAATACTAATATGTCAGTCGTGGATTATTTGAAAAGTTTCGTCTAAGTGAGCATAGTAAATAATGGGATCACCTTCGTTTTTCACCGGAATAATTAGTTTTTCTGATGCTCCAATTTTGACGAAATCGTATCTTGCTAAGCGCTGGTAATCTTCTGGTGTTTTCTTAGTAATCTTGTTCTTTGATTCTTCTACTTTTAAAATTAAAGACATATATTGATCATTTGTAAACAACTGATTATTTTTTCCTTTACTTGCAATAAGTACAATGGTACTTTCATAGAAACGTTTTTTCATTTCATCTGCCATCATCAGACACTGATACAAATGTAAAAACTCGCGGAAATTGCGGCACACACTGCGCGACCTCTTATGACAAAACGACAACGAACACTATTGTGTCAGCCACGAGATTGTGGTGATCACGCCACGCGGCAGCGGGATGAAGAGCGGGAGGGGTAACAAGTCAGTTACACCATATTTATTGATTTGGCTAACTTTGACCCGCTATTATGAATAATATCAGGATAAAGAGATTAATTTCATCATATTGTCTATTCAATTTTACTATTATATATAATGGCCATTCATTATGTATAATAGCTATTTAATCACTATGACTGTAACATATACCTATATGATATCTTTTATAAATATAGTTTTATGCCCCATTTACATTCAGCCCTGTTGGGCAGGGAAGTGAGCAGGGCAGTGGGCAGGGCAGTATGTAAACAGGCTACTCGCGCTGACACTGCCGCTGCCGCTGCCACTGCCCGACGATCCCTCAAATGTCGGTTTTTCGTGCGGAAGTCAAAGGACGGGCAGCGCGAGGCGGCAGTGAGTGTTCACATTCAGCTCCATCGCCCACTTCGCGCCAAGCGCCTGGATGAACGGACTTGCGTGGCGTCTTGTTATTAAATAAGTACGATCTACCAAAATGCCTTTCGAGTGGAATAATGAAAATACAATAAAGTTTTTAGAACTACTGGAATCAGAAAAAACTATATGGAATTTCAAAGATAAAAACCACAATTCATCATCTTCTACGAATACGAATTTTCTTTTTGAGATAACATAGTACCTATGTACATAATTAATTATAAAATCGTCAAATTTATTATATTTGATATAAAATTTACGGGGTTGGCGATTAATTTTGGGAATTAATGAATATTGAAATTTTATTTCTAAAAACGATTAGTAACTCATATTGATTATTTATTTATTAAAATGTAAAATAAGTTAAGTGGTAATATTTGCATAATAGTCTGAGATTTTTAAATTATAATTTTATTGTAATTAAAATTATGAATTAATTTATACTGTAGTGTAATTATTGAAATAATAATAGCTTAACTAATCTCATATAATATTTAATATTATTTATGTAAAAATAATGTAATAATTCAATTAATAATTTATGAAAAATTTACTATATAAGAATTCAAATAGAGTGGATCTGTATTATAAGTATTTAATTGTACATAATATTTGAATTCAAAAAGAATGTTTGTACCTAACTTTTAAGCAATGCAATAATTTTAAAATGTAACATTGGGTTTGTGTAATTAGCTGTATTTCATATCATTTTTGCATGCCAATTATGGCAAAACATGTCAGTTCCACGTCATTGATCATCCATGTTTTTAAGCAAATAAATTTTCTATCTAACTATCTATCTTCTTTTGAACTTGATATCTTTTTTAATTATTAACATAATTTTGTATTGCAAAACGACACAGCGCGGACGCTGTAATTATTTCGACTTCTGTCATAGTCGAAAGCCGAAAGTGATGTGAGTAGGGTAGGGCAGAGTGTAAATACACACTTCCCGCGATCCTGCTACGGCAGTATTAAGCGAAGTATTGCCGGCAGCGCGAGGAGCAGTGGCAGGGGCTGAATGTAAATGAGGCTTTAGACATCCTTTAAGGTGTAGTAGTGTTGTCGTGTAGTAGGGTACCTGATACAGTAGGGTTGGCAAATCGAGTCGTAAGTTATACAATTTGTCTATTTAAAAACTGAAAAAAAAACATTATTTATTAGAGCTAACCGTTTGTCAAGACTCACTTCGTAATGCATCATAGAATTAAATAGTGTGTTATTTTCCCCTTTATCATTCGTTGGTCGATTCTTCTTTGTGCATTTAACAAAGAAAAAAGTGGCATAAAAATTACTTTATATTTTTACCGATTACAAAAAAGAACCCGTAAATTTTAAGGAAAATGGATACTTATCCTATCATAATGTTCAGAACTTCGGGACGGCCGATTATAGTTTTTGGATACTCGCTTTAATTGAATAGTGAAAATAAAACGGTTTAAAAATTGTCTCTAATGTGTGGCGAACTTAGGATTTAGTGCTTTCTCTTCTTGCGGTCAAAATTTCCTACAAACATTTATGTGCGCGCATATTTTATTACATCGTCAATTAAAATGGCAACGAGAAGTGCTACTATTTTCAATCTCTTTTTTTATCGACCAAGTGTTAAAAAAACCCAGTATATGCTAATCTTGCATTATTAGGCAGTAACTAGTATTGGGAGGTCTACTTAAACTGAACGTTTATTTAAGATCATTGATATTATACGTGAAAAAATCGAAAACTGCGAAGCTGTGTTCGGATCAATATTCGAATAATAAATATGTAACTATGGAGCCGGTAACTAGGTACCTAGTTATAGTTATATACATAAAAATAATAATATCTTAACTTTCGGTATCCTTTAGAAAAATAAAGAATGAAAATTGACTTAGCGGTCAGCTGTTGTGTAGAGTCTACATCTCCTGAAGATGCTTCTTGTAGAGGCGAAACACGTGTCGTATTATCATCGATGGTGCGTCTTTCCTGGAATAGTGGTGTTGGAAGTAGTGGTGCTAGGACTAGTGGTGACGGGATTAGTATACGCAACTGAGGGAGGGCGGGAGGTGATCTTTAATCCAGTTAAGACACATCATTGTATTATTTAAGCGAATTGTTGCGAATTAAATATTATTATCTTAATTACAATGAATTTCCGCAAAGTAACGCCTGATTCTATCAATTAACATAAAGAATGAAAAGTTGACATTCTTATTTTTATTTAAGCACCGTATGCTATGCAGAACCTTTTGGCTTTTTGGGTGGCCATACTTGAGTAAAAACTTAAAATAAATATTAAAAGTGCCTAAATACTTTTATGTGAAAAATGCTTTTTGTCAACGTGAGGCGCGCGTCAGCTCGAGCGCGCGCGTGACAACCTCACGGAATAAGTCCATGTACGCGTAGCGAAAGTATATTTTCAAGCCTGAAGCGCAGAGTGAGACTGGCCTGATACTAGAATTTGAGTTGAGTTTTGACGATAGTTGGTGAATGGATAGTGCAAAACTATGTTTACGGTCGACTTACGTGGCAGACCCGTGCTGCAGTTATATTAGTGTTATAGCTGTAGCACGAATGGGTCGGCTCGATCGGAGAAAGACCACTCTCTCACAGAATATCAGCGTGAGATAGAAGCTTAATGCTGCTGTATTCCGTATTGTGAGTATAGAGAATCAGAGACCCTTTTTACTGGAAACGAGACAAACCATCTTAGTCCTCACGGGTGACAACGCATCTGCGTTTTGGTTCGTAATCGAGGATAGATATAGATGTCTATGGGCCGCAGCCATCTTACCATCGATTAGATTGTGTACACTACACTCACCATATGAAACACAGCAACATTAAACTGCTTATATCACGCTGGTATTTTGTGAGACAGTAGTCCTTCCCCGGTCGAGCCGACCCGTTCGTGCTACAGCCATAATATATCTGCAGCGTGGCTCTACCACGTAAACAGTCTAGCCTTTTTACTAAACGGTGCAGTTCAACTAGCGTCATACAGGATACAGGGTACTGGTCGCTGATCTGTTCTTGCTCCTCCGTCTTTGATGGCTCCGTGGCGCAGTGGGCTGGCAATATGTTGTAGCGCTGGGAGCTGCGCGTTAAAATCCCGCACGGAATAAGTAATTGTATGGCATACAAATAATTGTTCTGGGTTTGGATGTTTGTTCTTGTGCCATTTATGATTATAATTTGCTTCTATAATACAGGAGACAATCCTAGTGTTTTTTATATAGGATAGGATGACAAAGGAGCACAGTCCACCTGATGGTAAGTGGTTGCTGTAGCCCATAGACATCTACATATATCCTCAAACACGAATCAAAAGGCAGATACGTTGTCACCTGTGAGGATTAAGATGGTATGCCTCGTTTCCAGCAAAAAGGGTCTCCGGTTTTCTGCACTCATCATACTAAACACAGCAGCGTTAAGCTGCTATTTTACGCTGGTATTCTTTAAGAGCGTGGTCCTTCCCCGGTTGAGTCAATCCATTCGTGCTACAATTATACTACTAATATAGCTGTAGCATGGCTCTACCACGTGTAAAGGTGGTGTAGTGTGGAGCTAACGTTTCATTAATAAAAAAATAGATCCTCGACGGGAAGCAATATCACACTGCAACCACTAATTAAATCATCATACACAGTTACATTAAGTCTTACTCTTATTTTTTTTATAATTGTTTAAAATTGAAGTGACAAACAAACTTAAGGTCCACCTGATGCTAAATTCCTATGGCAGTCTATGCACACCTTAATCCAACTTTAAACAAAGAAGGCTACAGGTGCACTGTCACCTCTAAGGACTGAGATGGATTGCTTCACATCCTGTAATTATACTGGCTTTTTTTTTACACTGCAACTTTTTTTTATAGAAGAGGGAGCAAACGAACAAACGGTTCACCTGATGTTTAGTGACTACCGCCGCCCATGACTGTCCGCAACACCAAGGGTATTGCAGGTGCGTTGCCGGCCCTTTTGAAAGTAGTAAGCTCTTTTCTTGAAGCTTCCCAGGTCGTATCGATCCGGAAAAATCACCGGTGGTAAACTGTTCCACAGAGAGGTCGTAGGAGGAAGAAAACTCCTTGTGATACGTACGGTGGTGGACCTCCAAGCATCCAGATGGTGTGGATGGTATTGGGACGTTTGCCGCGTAGTGCGTTCACGAAGTTTGGCGGCTGTAATTAATCCGAACAATTCCTCAGAGCACTCTCCGTGATAGATGCGATAAAAAACGCAAAAAGATGCAATATCTCTTCGCAGCGCCTCGGTCGTCGACGATTCGAGCCGCTCTGCGCTGCGTATTCCATGTGCGGCCGAACCTGCGCCTTGTAAAGTTGCAGGCGGTGTGCTGGCATGTACAGAGTGTACAAAGCATCACCAGTGCTGTCATCTGCATAACAATGAATGTTGCCGGTTTGCAACATATCATTGATATGCAGAAGAAACAGC